ACAGTAAGTGCATTAAAAGTAATGTAATAAAATTAATGAGATCCATGTAAATCATGGTAGTAGAAGAAGGCTGCAAGGAGAGGGAATTTGAACTAGGCTTTGAAGAATGAGGAAAATTTTGGTGTCCAGAGAGAACAAATAAGATAAACCTTGCTTATTAATGCCCTAATGAACCTTTACTGACAGCCATAGCTTTTCTTTCACAATCAGAAAAAGGAAGTGTGCACAACTTAGTATGTGAAATTGTCTCTTGATATTTTCTTTATAAAACTGATAAGGAAACATATCAAGAGTTGAATTTTGGATCATCCTTTAAGAACACTGGAAAAGCAGGGACATTTTATAGAGATGAAGGCATGCATGGATGTCAGCATCAGGGAGGCAGGACTTTTGAATTGAGACACAAAGGAGATGATGACTGTATAGGGAAGTGTGAGTCTGGAGACCAGACTCCTGCCACCAATATCCTGGTAAGTCCCTTACTCACTCTGGACCTGCTTTCCTCAGTGGTAACATGAGAAGGGTCAGGAGCTAACATTATTTGACTCTGTGCATGCTTCTATGAAAGCAACCTTATAAACAAATTTGAAGTAAAGTTCTATTGGCTTAGTATATTATCTCTCCCCAGAATTTTTGCACCTTAACATTTTGCAATATGGACTGGAGTGAAGAGAAAGTGTTAGTTTCCAGAAATCCATCAGTTAAAGGGAGGTGTTAGCTTCATTAGGTTTGCTGGCAGAGTCTCTAATATTGCCCTGGTGACCTGGTACTAATTCCTCCCTAATTTCCACTGGTTGGAGTTTAGGAAGCAACTTATCTCTTAGCCAAGATAAGTGAGAAATAGAAACAGGGATATGAAAAGAAATAATAAACTGCCCCAAAATAGTTAAACACTTAAGGTAAGTGACCAGGGGATAGATAGCCTGTTCATGATTTGTGGGAAAATGTGTACATATTCAACTAGTAAAGAGAAAGCTTCTAAATGAAAACAAAAAAAAAATTCTACTAAGCCAATATATAAAGCTAGTAAAATTTCTACTCTGACCTATGACTACTAACTTCTCCTTAAGGTTAGAACCAAGAGTTTAACACTTGTTCTGTGTGGTTAATTTGAACTTCCTGGTTAGATTTATAAACCATCTTATCCTTCATTATAACAAGTTTTACATTTTCCTAAGCTTGCAAGTAATCTTAAATAAACCTTTGTTTTTCTCATTGCAATGGGTTTGTTGCACAGAAAAATTATTTTACATAATTGAAAACATTCTATTTTACACACAGTTTTAAGGTTTTCAATGTTATTAAGGGATCATAAATTGGAAATACAATTAAAAGGGATTCTTCACACATTATTTCTAATTTATTCTTATGTTTCAAAACTGGCACCTTTTTCAAATTAGACCCCACAAGAATTCTGTAATTTGATATTTAAAAAAAAATTCTTTTTTTTTGTTCTGACAGATGTGGCTCATTAGATTGAGCATCGTCCCATGAGAAGTCCTGGTTTAATTCCTGGTCAGGGGGTGTGCAGGAGGCAGCTGATCTATGTTTCTCTCTTACATTGATGTTTCTATCTCTCTCTCCCTTCCTCTCTCTCTAAAACATCAATAAAAACATGTTTTTTAAAAAATGTTGAATAGGTATTCATAGTATTCAGAATTAAAAAATATACAAAAAGGTGTCCGGAGAAAACTCTCCCACCTTTGTCCCTGGCCACTCAGTTTGTCTCTTCAAGGGCAACCATGGCTATCATTCCAGAGGTGACACTGGCTATCCTTCCAGAGATACTTACTCATATACAAGAAAATATGTCTACATATTCTTTTATCTCCCATTTCCATACAAATGACATCGTGCTCTACACTCTGCATTGCACCTTGCTTTTCTCACTTAATGCTCCACTTGAAGATCAGCACAAATGCACACTACACAAAGAGCTTCCGTTTTATTCTTGACAGATATCTGGTATCCCAGCAAATGGCTATATCATATGTTATTTAATGAACCCACTATTAATGGACAGTTGGGCTGTTTCCAATCTTATGCTATTGACACAACAACTAGCTCTTATTAAGTGTTTCACATACACTTTATCTAATCCTTAGTGCCGAAAAAAAGCAAAACCAAAAATACGTTCCCATACACTCTTAAACACAGGAAGACTATTTATACCAGATAAATTCCTAGAAGTAGAATCTCTAGATTTGAGGGTATGTGCATTTAATTTTGGCAGGTATAGTGGATGTGCCAATTTATATCCATGTCAGCAATGTTAAGAACATGCCTGATTGCTCCCATGTTCTTAACATTAACTTTTTGATTTTGCCAATCTGGCAGGTTAAAACATTTATATCAGTATAGCTTTAGTTTGTATTTCTCTTATGAGTGAGGTTACACAACCTTTTATAAGTTTAAGAATGATCCGTATGTCCTTTTCTATAAAATATTGTAGTGTTTGCTCTTTTTTTGTTGTTGTTAATCTTCACTGGAGGATATTTTCCCATTGATTTTTAGATACAGATAGAGTGGGAGGGAGAGAGAGAGAAACATTGATGTGAGAGAGACACATTGACTGGTTGCTTCCCACAAGACCCAGACCGGGGCCTGGGATTGAACCTGCAATCCAAGTACATGCCCTTGACCAGGAATCAAACCTTCAACCCTTTTTTTGGTCCACAGGCTGACGCTCTAACCTCTGAGCCAAACAAGCCAGGGCGAGTGTTTGCTCATTTTTATATTTTGTAATGATTTGTAGATCCTATCTGTATAGCAGGAAAATGACATTGCCTATGATATGAATTGAAATGTTCTTTTGGCTTTGCTTAAAAAGTATTTTGCCATACAGAATTTTAAAAGTTTTTATATAATTGAATATATATATTTGGTTTCTGGTTGTTAGAAAACCTAAGATTATAAAAAAATAAATTATTTCCCACGGTTTCTTTCTAGTGTTTTATTTCTTTACATTTAAATCTTTGATACATTTGGAATTTGCCCTAATAAAATTTTGGAATTTTATAAGGAGTGGGGGACAAATTCAACTATCTTCTACAAATCAGAGATTCCACCTTTTATCATAAGCTAAATTTTCATCCTAACAGTTTTAGAATGAGATATTGAATTTTATTTAGTGATTCCAAATTTGAATGTTCTACTCCTACTAGCCAAGCTTAATAAGAAAGTAATTATAGAGCTTATTATTTTCTATTGAAAAAAAATAAGATACCAAACTCTGAGAGTACATTATCCAAATACAAATGTGTATGGTTTTTAGGGAAAGAAAGACATTTATGGCAAATAAAAACTCAAAATTAGAATTATTTAATCAGATGCTTTTCAGAATAATCTTAGTTTTGTTTTATTGAAATAGACAGTTACTTTGGTATAGCAGAAAGAATACTGGACTAGGAAGCAGGAGACCTACTGACATTTTATGTTTTAGTCTGGTCTCTTTCTAATTTAATAATAACAACAAACTAACAGTTTTACATATATTAATTCATTCAGTATATGTGGTTAATAAAAAAGATTCAAATTTCTTATGAATTATACAAATGTTAAGTATTATTACAAATAAAAATGTCAATAGGTCCTTTTAGCTCAGTAAAAAACAACACTGTTATGAGCTACATGCATGCTATGAAATATATGGACATAAAGTAGCATGATGATCTGGGAGAGTGTGGATTATGACCTTTTTTTGTAACACAGTATTTTTTTATGTTCTGATTTTTTTTTTTTTTAGAGGAGAGAAACATCCATTTGTTGTTTCACTATTTGTTGTTCCACTTAATTATGCATTCATTGGTTGACTCTTGTATATGTCCTGACCAGGGATCCAACTACAATTTTGGTGTATTAGGGTGACATGTCAACCACCTGAGCTACTGGGCCAGGGACTGGATTCTGATCTTTTCAACATTCTTCTTTACCTTCACATTTTTGTGCCTTTGCTTATGCTGTTGTTTCCTGGGTCTGAATGTCCTCCCTACCTATCTCCACCCCCACCCCCAACACAGAAGTGTGTATCCTTTTTTTCTTTAAGGACTACCTCAAATGCCATTTCCTGGCCTGTCTTCCAGGTAGAATTATTCATGTAGTCTTCTAATCCCCTAGTACTTCATATACAATAGTATGCATTATAATAGAGGTAGCTTAAATATTTATTTTGTTTTATCAATGAGACTTGAGTTCCTTGAGGACAGGGCCTGTGCATTACTTATCTTTGTATCTTTATGCAGCTCCTGACATAGGGCCAGGTATATAATAAACATTCAGCTGAAAGAAAAGGACAAAAATTTGCATACATAACTATACAGCATTCTGTTTGACAAAAGTTGGAAAGGCTTTAATCAGAATCAGAGCACCTGTGCTCCAGTAGCTGGTAAAACCAAAATTAATTATTTGTTATCTTTATCTTTGAATATATGAGAACTTGAATGCAAGATATTAAACGTTTTATGGCTTATTTTATTTTATTTATTTTCCTCTATTGATTTTTAGAGAGAGAAAGTGAGAAGGAGAGAGAGATAGAAACATTGAAGAGAGAGAACATTGTTCAGCTGCCTCCTGCATGCCCCCCACTGGATATCAGGCCCACAACCTGGGCATGTGCCATGACTGGGAATTGAACCAGTGACCTTTTGGTGCATGGGTTGATGCTCAACCACTGAGCCACATCGGCTGGACTTTATGGCTTATTTTAAAGGTGTGATCTACAGTGTGAAAATCAGACATTTTCTGTGATTGTACATTTTAGCTTTGTACTTTATTTGAGAAAGTTATACTTGGGGTACAAGCTAAATAATGTTGCTTGAAATTGGATTAGGAAATACATGCAGAAACATTGCACTTATCAGACAGTCAGATTTCTGCTAGTTACAACTGTCTAGAACATATTCAAGAATTCTAGAAGGAATCCAGAAAGGTTTTTGAAGTTGGAAAAAAATAACTCTCACAAATTCTGTTCACTTGATGTAGGTGGAGAGGCACAGTGCCACTTGCATGCCAAGGCCTACTTAATGACTTTGAATTTTCATAGAAAACTTTATGGACTGCTTAGCAAGTTTGGATATTCAGCTTCCCTTCCAGACATTTTTGCTAATCTTGGGTTTTGGTAGAAAAAAGATAAAAAGAACTCTCCCATCCATGCTGCCTGAAGGTACTAACTAGAGTATTGTTGAGATGAGTGCAAAAGTGATTCTCATGTTTTTCTCCTGTAAACCATGGAAACTTACTTTGTTTTGTATTTTTTAGTTTTTAAGAATTCTGATTGGCTCACATAAAGTTGGTGGTGAGAATGCTTACTTTATTCTAATTTTTAAAAATCTGAGGTTTAATTTTGACACCAAGGATAAACCTTGCCATCAAACATCTGTGCTGTATATTGTATAATTCCATTTATATGAAATGCCTAGCATAGGCAAATCCATAGAAAAATAAAGTAGATTAATGGTTGTTAAAAGATAGAGGGAAGGGAGAATAGGAAGTGATTACTTAATGCTTATGGAGTTTCTTTTAGAGGGTGATACTAATGTCCTGAAATTAGATAGTAATGATGGTTGTACAACCATAATGTAAATATGTTGTAAAACTCAACTGAATTGTACACTTTAAAATAGTTTAAATGGTGATTTTCATGTTATGATAATTTTATCTAAAAATTTATTTTAATCTGATTTTGTTCTGCTCCAGTATTTTAAATTTAGTATTGTTAAATTTAAGGGAAATATAAAGCAACAACTTATATAAAGCTAGAGAAGACTAATGTGAATAACAGATGCGTTAACCCTGGCTGGTGTGACTCAGTTGGTTGGGCACTGGTCAGTGCATGGAAAGGTTGCTGGTTTGATTCCTGGTAGGGAGCGGGGCGTTCAGCCAATTGATATTCTGCTCTCACTTGGATATTTTTCTCTCCTTCTCCATTCCTTTCTCTCTCTAAAAAAAAAAAAAAATCAATAAAAATATTTAAAAAAATATATAAAAATCTGCCTGGCCAGTGCGGCTCAGTGGTTGAGCGTTGACCCATGCACCAAGAGGTCACCAGTTTGATTCCCAGTCAGGGCACATGCCCAGGTTGTGGGCCCAATCCCCATTGGGGGCATGCAGGAGGTGGCCAATCGATGTTCTCTCTCATAATTGTTTCTGTCTCTCTCTCCTCCTTTCCTCTCTCTCTGAAATCAATAAAGAAAAAATATTTGTTAAAAATCTGAGGTTTAAAAAAAATGTTTCTTTGATTTCATCTCTTTGAAAGGGGGTGATTAATTTGAGGTACAAAGCCTTTATTCTTTCATTCAAGTATTAATGTTATTTATCATAGGTTGGAATTTTGAATGTGAATAGAACATGTATAAATTTATTTGTAAAGCTTGGTAAAAGCTGTGTAAGTAAGCTAGAGGAAAAATTAAAAAGCATGGTAAAAGGAATGGGGAGTTTGTTTTAATGCTTGCTAAACATGTTTTTTGTGGTGGAACAACAAATGAAAACAGGTATCATTCGGTTTTCTTTCTCTCTTCTCTTTCTAGATTGCCAAAATGCTTTGGAATTTTTAACTGACTTTAAGAAAAGTCCAAAATAGATTTGAGACTGTAAAAACAGAAGCTGCAGCAAAGGGGATTCAGTGCCAATGCATCAACAAAAAAGACAGTTAGAGTTAGTGGAAGGAAATCTTCCTGTTTTTGTGTTTCCCACGGAGCTAATATTTTATGCAGATGACCAGTCAACACATAAGCAAGTGTTGACTTTATATAATCCCTATGAGTTTGCCTTAAAGTTTAAAGGTGAGTTCCCTAGGTCTATTTGATGGATTTTAACTAGTCCTTACTAATTTTTTACTTGTAGAAACTAATTTTTAAAAAAACACTAATGGTCATTGTGACTTTTTCTTTCAGTTTTGTGTACTACTCCAAATAAGTATGTTGTCGTTGATGCTGCAGGTGCAGTAAAGCCTCAGTGTTGTGTGGATATGTAAGTCCCAATCACTTCCTGGTAACATGTTTTAAGTGTGTTAAAATTTATGTGTTTAACTTGAAAAAGATTTTTTCTTGAAGCTGTTTCCACATAAGCATTTATTATACTTTGGGTTTTTGCTAAAAGTTTTAGTCTATCAAAATTCTGGGTGGGGGGGGTGGATAGTAAAGGGTAAAAGGGGTCAAATATATGGTGATGGGAGATTTGACTTTGGATGGTGCACATAATACAATATACAAATGATGTATTATAGAATTATACACTTGAAACTTATACAGTTAGGTTAACAAATGTCACACCAATAAGTTTAATTAAAAGAAAAAAAATATTGTGAAGTTTCTAATAGATTCTAAACAGGTCAACCAAATAATAATATTTCATTATGTTGGAACTGATATGTGTGTTAATATTTCTGTGAACATTTCCTCATTGTTGTGCTTTTAGTCATAATGGACATTTATGAAGGTAAAGTTTAACTTATTCCTTTAAATTTCTCTAGCTATAATAAGAAATTTATTTGGAACATCTTGCTATTATAGTGACTTTGGGAAACTCATAATACTACATCCTCAGAATATAAGTTCATCTGAAATGATTCAGCTAATAAGCTTGGAAGTTAATCTATACAAACAGGAAGCAAGTGCATAACTACTTATCTGTAAAAGTCGTCTGAGTTCTTCCAGATAATTTATTCTTAAAGTGTCAGATAAATGATTGTTTGTTCAAGCTGTTCATATTTAATTTTCACTTTAGAACTGGTGATGACCAGATGTATCCATTGACCAGGCCTTAGTTTAAGCCATCAAGTAAACTGTATTTGCTTAAATTTTCTGGGAGAATGAGAAGCCGAAGCACTTTCTTTTGAATACACTTAAAGCTTTAAAATTATGTATCTTTAAGGATGTGTTTTTGCACATTTCTTTTGATTTTTATTCAGTCCAAAATAAGCAAGGACTATTCCAAAGAAATATAGTCTTTAGCCAAATAAATGTGTTACCTTCTGACCTAATTGTTCTGTGTTCTTTGTTAAGAACAAAGTAAAATATATGGAATTGCAGATAGCATTTATAAAAATTGAAGTGCTTTATACTTTTTCTCTTCAGAGAAATACAGAAGTGTATTGTTAGCCTTCTGTTGGATTGACCAGAATGGCTTATCTATGCAAATGCTTATTTTTACTGCATTCATGGATTTCAATTTTAAGTCTAGGATGAGGTTTGTTACTTGAACAATAAGTGGCAATAGAAATCTATGAAACTGTTGTGGGGAAAGAAACAATTTCATATATCTTTTTGTTGTTGCTGTTAATCCTCAACCAAGGATATTTTTCCATTGAGTTTTAGATAGCATAGAAGGGAGGGAGGGAAGGAGAGAGAGAGAGAGAAAGAGAGAGAGAGAGAGAGATGTCAGAGAGACACATTGATTAATTGTGGCCTGCTCAACCCCAATTGAACCTGTAACCCAGGTAAAGTGCCCTTGATTGACCAGGAATCAAACCTGTGACCCTTCGGTCCACAGGCCGATGCTCTAACCACTGAGAAAACTAGCCAGGGCAATTTCATATTTCTTATTTAGTAAAGATTACTGCACACGAATATCCAGAAAAAAAGTGTCATTGCCAAAAGGAATGTTTTTACCCATTATTTTAATTTTTTTTCCTTTATTGATTATAGAAAGAAAGGAAGGAGAGAGAACATCGATTGGCCGCCTCCTGCATGTCCCTTGACTGGGGATTTGACCCACAACCTGGACATGTGCGCTGACTGGGAATCGAACTGGTGACCTTTTGGAGTATGGGTCGACGCTCAACCACTGAGCTACATCGGCCAGGCTACCCATTATTTTTTACTTAAGACTTTTATTCTATGATTTAGAGTCTGTGCTTTTATCAAATATTTTAACAGTACCCATTTCCTATTGGGTTATACTGTGATTTTTTAAAAAGCATCATTAGCAAATTTCTGTATTTGAGTATTTGGTTATAGTCAGTCAATACTGTTTTACTATATGGAATCTCTTGCTGAATTCTGTTTAACAGGTCCCCAAAAACCTAAACAGCATTTGTTATTTTTTAATGTTTTCAGTGTGATTCGTCATAGAGATGTTCGATCCTGTCACTATGGTGTTATAGACAAATTCCGTCTCCAAGTTTCTGAGCAAAGCCAGAGAAAGGCTCTAGGAAGGAAAGAGGTTGTGGCTACTCTTCTCCCTTCTGCAAAAGAACAACAAAAGGAAGAAGAGGAAAAAGGAATAAAGGAACCATTAAGCAAAAGCTTATTTTTTGAGCAGTCTTTTCAACCAGGTAATTGTGGGTTGTTTTAAAAGCCCTTTTAAGGTCTTACACATTCCTAGCTTTAAAATAATCAAGGAGTTAAGAATAATTACTAGAAAAATAATCTGTTGCTTTAAACCTAATCAACTACTTTGAAACAGAACTTAGAGATCAGGTACCTAAAATTGAACCCAAGGCCTAGAGCTGGACTTTCAGAGGAGAGGACTAGAGGATGCCATAACCTTAAAATCTGTAAAACCTGAAAATGCAGGCACTGTACTTCATAAAGCTAGAAAAATTTGGCAATTATATACTTTTCTTTCTGTGACTTTCCTTCATCCTTTTCATTTAATTAGTTCAAAGAAGGAGAGATTGTGTTTGGCAATACGCCAAGCTTGGTGCACTGTTCATTTATTTTGAAAAAATCCCATTAAAATTGAACTTAATTAAACTAAGTAGATTATAATATCCCCTGTGGGCTATTAATGTGATCCCTTTCCATTTCTCTTTCCTTCCAGCTTAGATATTCAGAAGTGTTATGATACATTCTTTCAACATTGACACTATTCTCATCTTCAACTCTTTGTCTTTCCCCCTCCTTTTTAACTTCTCATTATTTCCCTCCAACCCTATTATTATAAGAGAAGGAAGATAATTTTTTCATAGAAAAACATGGAAACTTGTTGATAGTGATATATGCATGTGATAGCAGCTGTCCTTGAAATTGCCAAATACCTATCAATTTGTTCATCTTAGCTTGTTTATTTTGATAACATAGGGAGTAATGCCTCTTTGATTTTTCTGTAGTCAAGGCTTTTCAGTCCATGTAGGGAGATTTTCTGGAGATACCAGGACTAAGGACTAGATAGTAGCTAGTAGATTGATTTCTTCCCAGAAACTATTATTGACTGACAGGACCAGCTTTCCTTATTTTGAAGCTGAAAGAGACCCTCTGTCAAATGTCATTTTGACCTTAGATCAAAATTAAGTTGACTTATAAATATTTATGAAATACAAGATTCCCCTTTTAAAATGCCTTCTGTAGAACAAGAAAGGCCATATAATGAATATTTGTTTTTCATGTTAAATTCATAATTTAAAGTAAAATGGTCATTGGAGCTCATTTGTTTTTAACAGATCAGTTTAATCACCAAGAATAATAAGAGTGAAAAGTTTAGTTATATTTTTATCCTCTTTTATATTTAAATGTATTAGAATTCTGGTGAAAAATTATCCTGAAAGGCTAAATAATTGCAATGTGCATTAATTGAGCATTTTATTCTTACTTTCTTTTTATAGTGATTCTTTGGTATCTGAAATGTAATAAAGTATTCTTCTAATTGTAAAATTGGATTAGATAAATAAATGAAAGTAGGTGATATTGGAATAACATGTGGTGATCCCTGTTTTAAAAAAATATATCTCTAAGTCATCCTTGTCAGGAAGCTCAATGAAAGCAGGTCTCTTATTTATATTGTTCGCCATTATGTCCTTGGCAGGAGTACAATCGTCCCTTTGTATCTGACAGTGACTGGCTCCAGGACGCTGCCTCCCCCTGCCCCAAATACTAAAATCAGCAGGTGCTCATGTGCCTTATTTGGCCCTTTGTATCCATGGGTTATGCATCCTTCAACTGCAAATCAGTGGTTTGTTAAATCTATTGATATGGAACCTGTGAATACAAGGGCTGACTAATTACATGGGAAATGTATGCATGGGCTACACTAGGAAGGCTGGACTTATTTGGTGTAGGGTCTGTTGAGTTTGTTTTCTTTTTCTTACAAGTTTTCCACTGCAAATGAAATATTATCCAGTTTTGAAAGAAAAGGAAGTGATTATGTACCAATATGGGAGTCATTTCTAACTTTTATTAAGTGAAAAAAGAAAGGTGCAAAATAGTGTGTACAGTTGTTATCATTCATGTTAGAAAGAGGAAAAATAATATATACATTTCTTTGTATCTGTATAAAATATTCCTGGAAGTAGAAGTAAGATATCACAATTATACAGGGGTGGGAAACCATTTTTCTGCCAAGGGCCATTTGAATATTTATAACATCATTTGAGGGCCATACAAAATTATTAACTTGAAAATCAGCCTGCTATGTTTGGTCAGGCTAATTTTATGAGGTGTGTGATATTAGATGGTACTGATTACATGGAACTTATGTGACTCTCGGGCCGGACATTCCCCACACCTGCTAGAGCAAGGTTGATACAACTGTAAAGTTCCATATACAGTCTTGGCCAATATGTCCTGTTTCTGAGTAGTTACATTAATGTTATTAATGTTTCTCATATGGAATTGAGTAACATTTTCTTTTTTTCTTTTTAAATCCTCACCTGAGGATATTTTTCTGTTTATCTTCAGATAGAGTAGAAGGGAGGGGGGAGAGAGAGAGAGAGAGACATTGATATGAGGAGGCAACATTGATTGGTTGCCTCCTGCACAAACGTGACCAGGGCTGGGGATGAACTGCAAGTGAGGTACTTGCCCTTGACCAGAATCAAACCGGAGACTCATTGGTCTGCGGGCTGAAGCTCTAACCACTGAGCAAAACCGGCCAGAGCAAAATTTTCTTCTTTAATACAGGGTAATGGTGACTGATTCAGTCTATGTTGACAAAGTGATACTTTTAACTTCTCTTGTTTATTATTTTAATACAGTCATGTGGCACTTAATGACTGGGATACATTCTGAAAAATGGGTTGTTAGACAGTTTTATTGTTCAAACATCATAGAGTAAACTTACACAAACCTAGATGGGATAGTCTACTACACATCAAGGCCATATGGTATAGCCCATTGTTCTAAAGCTACAAACCTGTACAGTGTGTTTCTGCACAAAACAACACGAGAGTAAATCAAGCACCAGAGATAATAATGCAATAAAAAGACATGGAAAACATAAGACCTATGAGGTTGCTGTTGCCTGCATAGCATAGCATACTGTTTTACAGCAAACTCTGTAAGTAGAAAAAGTATACTGTAAAATAATGATTTAAAAGTATATAAGTTTAGTTAATACAGAAGCTAGTAACATCATTGTTTATTATCATTATCAAGTACTATATACTGTACATAAGTATATGTTATACTTTTTATATGACTGGTAGTGCAGTCAGTTTGGTTACACCAGCAGCACCACAAACACGTGAGTAATGTGTTGTGTTATGGCACTGTAATGAGTACAGTATCACTAGGTGATAGGAATTTTTCAGCTCCATTATAATCTTATTAGACTACAGTTGTATGTGCCACCGTAGTTGACCAAAACATGACTATAGTGAATTATTTGTAGTATCAAGTATATAGAATTCTAAGGATTTTCATTAAGTATCTCTGAACTAAAATGTTGAAACAAATTAAGATTGTTTTTTTTTTTTTTGTTTTTTGTTTCAGTTATTTTATGTTACATACTTTTTAAAATTTATCTGTGTTATTGAAAGTATTACAAATGTCCCTCCTTTTTTTCTTCCATTTCTTCTCCTTCACCACACTGTTGTCTGTGTCCATTGGTTATGCATATATGCATATCAGTTCTTTGGTTTATCTCTTCCCTTACCCCTACTTCCCTTCCCTCTTAAGTTTTGAAGTGGTATTATTTTTTCATGTCTTTAGCTTGGAAAGTGTTTATTAGACATATTATAAATACAATATTGTTGTGAGGCTCTTTGAGCTAGCTGGAAAATGGTCAAAGGCTATGCTCATGAAATATTTGGATTTTTAAATGTATTGTGAGGCAGTAAAAATTAGAATTTTTTAACAGGGAACTTTCCAGGACTTGTCTATACACATAAATATAAATATATATAATAGAAAGTTAACTAAGATAAATCCACAAAGCATACTTTTACAAAATACCACAGCCCAGGTTATTAAAAAGATGCAGCTGAGTGGGTTTGTTTTAGCGGGGTTGTCTCAATTATGGAAACATGTTTCATAATGAACTATGTCTTTGCAATGTCTGAGTCAGTGCCCTCTGGTGTAAGAAAATTAGGCTTTTTATTATTGTTTATAACAATAAATGATTGAAAATGACCTAAAAGTCCATCAGTTGGGGATTAATTAAATTAGAAATATTTGTGAGATGGATGCCAGTCAGGCATTTACAAGGATCTGATAGAGTGATAGATAGTTATATATTGACATGGAAATAGGTTCAAATATATTCCTAAGTGGGAAAACAAAAAGCAGATATAGAACTATAGGAATATTATAGTCCCATTTACATAACATTTTTTACATGTTTATATAGGCATTAATAAAACCTGAAAGGATCTATACCAAGCTGTGAATAGTGTTATTTCCAGGAAGATGTGATTACATAGGAACATTTATGATTTCTATATCTATACAATTTTTTTTTTATCCTCACCCAAGGACACTTTTTTTTTTTTTTGCTTTTATCTTCAGATAGAGTGGGAGGGAGAGAAGGAGGAAGTGAGAGAGAGAAACATCCACGTGAGAGAGACACATTGAGTGGTTGCCACCCACAGGACCCCAACCTGGGCTGGGGACAAACTGCAACTGAGGTACCGTACCCTTAGCAAAAACCGAACCAAGGACTCTCTGGTCTGTGGGCCAAAGCTCCAACTGCTGAGTGAAACCAACCAGGGCTCCATATAAAATTTTTACAACAATCACAAAAAGAGTTATTTTCTACTCAGCTGGAGTGAGTGGCTCAGTTGATTGGGCATTGTTCAGTGCACCAAAAGTTTGCCAGTTCAATTCCAGGTCAGGGTGCATACCTGGGTTGCAGGTTCGATCCCCAGTTGGGGCACATATGGAAGGTTACTGATTGATGTTCTTCACGTTGATGTTTCTCTCTGTCTCTCTCTCTGTCTCTGTCTCTCTCTCTTTGTCTCTCTCTCTCTCTGTCTCTCTCTCTCCCTCTCTCTCTCCTTTCCTCTCTTTCTAAGCATGTCCTCAGGTGAGGATTAAAAGAAAGAGCTATTTTCGTTTTGAATAATTTTGAGCATTTATGCAAATATTTTTGGAATTTTTCTAAATACTAAAGATTCCTTGAAATTATCTTTATTGTGGGTTTGCAGTGAGCAGTGTAATTGTCTTCAATGTTTTCCTTGAAAACATATCTTTGCAAAAAATATAAATATAAAGATACTTCATTTATTAACTAAGACCTGTTTTTAGGTATAAAATTTGAATTTGTTTACACCTTCATTTGTGTTTCTGTTAACTATCCGTTTTCATGAAAGAAGGGGTAGTGGAAAAATTCATATAACAGAAAATGTTATTAATGAGTTTCTTAAAAAGATGGGTATGAATATTATACATATACGCTGAGAACTATAGAATAGCAAGCTTGATAATAAATGTTTTATAAATTTTATTTTATTGTGGTAAGAGCACTTAACATGAGATCAGCCCTATTCACAAATATTTCAGTGTACAATATTGTTTATTTATTTATTTATTTACTTTTTGTATATGCCCCTAGCGGGAACCGAACCTAGGACTCTCTGGTCCGCAGGCCGACGCTCCAACCGCTCAGGCAAACTGGCCTGTTTTTTAAAAATTATCTTTATTGTTGAAATATTACAGATGTTGCTCCTTTTATCCCCCATTGACCTCCTCCACCCTGCTCCCAACCCCACCCCAGCCTATTGTCTATGTCCCTGGGTTATGCATATATGCATATAAGTTATTTGGCCAGTCTCTTCCCACCCCCCTCCCTCTGAAGTTTGTCAGTCTGTTCCTTGCTTCCATGTCCTTGGATCTATTTTGTTCATCAGTTTATTTTGTTCATTAGATTCCACATGTAAATGAAATCATGTCATACTTGTCTTTCTCTGACTGGCTTATTTTGCTTAGCATAATACTCTCCAGATCCCTCCATGTCATCTGAAAGGGTAAGAAATGTTTCTTTCTTACAGCTGCATAGTATTTCATTGTGTATATATATGTACCACAGCTTTTTCTCTCCACTCATCTACTGATGGGCACGTGAGGTGTTTCCAGATTATAGCTATTGTAAGTGGTGCTGCTATGAACATAGGAGTGTATATATTGTTTCTGATTGGTGTTTCAAGCTTCTTAAGACATATTCCTAGAAGTGGGATCATTGGGTCAAATGGCATATCCTTTTACCCAAAGCAATCTATAGATTTAGTGCAATCTCTGTTAAAATACCAATGTCATATTTTACAGATCTAGAACAAATACTCCAAAATTTCATATGAACTGAAAAAAGAAAGAAAAAAGAAAAGGACTCCAAATATCCACAGCAATCTTGAAAAAAAATAACAAAGTAGGAGGGATCACAATATAGGATATCAAATTATATTACAAAGCCATTGTAATAATAAGAGCCTTGTACTGGCACAAGAACAGGCATATAGATCAGTGGAACAGAACAGAGAACCCAGAAACCAACCCAAGATATTACACTCGATTAATATTTGACAAAGGAGGCAAGAGCATACAATGGAGTAAAGATAGTTTCTTCAATAAATGGTGTTGAGAAAATTGGACAGTTACATGCAATAAAATGACTCTAGGCCAACAATTTATACCATACACAAGAATAAACTCAAAATGGATAAAAGACTTAAATGCAAGTCATGAAACAATAAACATCCTAGAAGAAACCATAGGAAGCGAAATCTTAGACATCTCACGTAGCAGAATTTTCACTGATAAATCACCTAGGGCAAAAAAAGCAAAGGCAAAAATAAACATGGGACTACATCAAATTAAAAAGCTGCACAGCAAAAGAAACCATCAACAAAATGAAAAGGGAACCCTCTGTATGGGGGAACATATTTGCCAATGACACACTATTGTTAACTATAGGCACGATGTTGCATAGCAGATCTCTAGACTGTATTCATCTTGTATAATTGAGACTTTATGCCCGTTGATTAGAAACTTTCATCTCAAACACCCCCATCCCCTAGCATCCACCATTTTACTCTCTGCTTTTTTGAGTTTGACTATTTTAGACACCTCATATAAGTGGAATCATGCTGTACTTGTCCTTTTGTGACTGGTTTACTTCACACAGAATAATATTTGCCAGATATTGTTTCTGCTGCTTTCTTACTTCTTTGCTGTAAATGGGGGTAGAGCAGAGGGCAAGAGTTTTCATAGGCAGCTTTAAAACACTCAAGTAGTGCCTTTTTGTTGCCTTCACATTTTCAAAATTGATAGAAGGATGCTTCGGTTATTAGGACCAAACTTGCCTGGAGACCTACCTAAGATGCTCCTAGAAGGTAGTGGAGCTCTAATGCACTGTGTTTCAGAAACAAGTACACATAAGCCATCCATTAGGGTACAGGAACAAAATGCCACAATTTCAATGTCTATTTTTAGCCCATCATTTTAAAATTCTACTTGTATTATATTAAACTTATTAGGACAGTATTTGTGCATATAATTTATAAACATACACAATTGATACATGCTCAAACATGTTCTACTGATTACGGTGAGAAGAGTGTGTGTAGGAGAAGGATGGTAACTTTTTAATAGGAACTCACTACCTCACAATGCCATTTCAACATTTCATCCTGTAATGACTCAGGGAAGTTATGGACTTCCAGATAAGTTTAGCAGATAAGTCCCCATGGAATGGGAATGATGGAGAAAGAGTTAGAGAAGTTAGACAAAATCAGAATCCTGTTGAGTGGTGGATAGTATATGTGAACAAATTTTTGTCTAATCTGTTTTTAGAAGCAAGCTCAGGGACTTTTGTCTTTTTACAGAAAACAGAACTGTCTCCTCAGGACCTAGTTTACTAACTGTCTTCCTGGGAGTGGTGTGCATTGTAGCTCTGATGCTTCCTACATTGGGGGATGTAGAATCGCTGGTGCCTCTCTACCTCCACTTAAGTGTGAATCAAAAATTAGTGGCTGCTTACATCTTAGGTAAGTGTTTTAAAGATGTATTTGGGGCATATGTGTAGGCAATTTGTATGGCTTGGATGTGGTAGTGATGGTCTTATGTGTACTGGGTGATGGTAGTGGTGTTGGTTTGATTTTCTTTTTAGAAAAACAGATAAAAGATTGCTTTAAAAGCATGTTGAGGTCAAGTGCATTTTGAGATTTAATTTTTGACTCACATTTAATTCTTTTCAGCTTATTGATCTAATACCTATCACTGTATTTCTTCTATTATTTTCTTTTAGGTGACTTACACTGGCATAAAATGTGTAAAATGCATATATTCCATGATACAGAATTTCTACTTCTAGGAATTGATTTAGGGAAACACTTAGAAAAAGTGTACACAAAAGTGTCTGCACCGCAAAAGAACAAAGCATCAAAAAGGAAAGGCAACCCACTGTATGGGAGAGCATAACCCCATACATCAGATAAGGGGTTAATTTCCAAAATATATAGAGTACTCATACAGCTCAACAAAAGGGAGACAGAACCCAATTAAAAAATGGACAGAGGAGCTAAATAGACACCTCTCCAAATAGGACACACAAATGGCCAAGAGCCATATGAAGAAATGGTCAACATCACTAATCATCAGAGAGATTCAAATTGAAACAGCAATGATGTATCACCTCATACCTGTCAGAATGGCCCCCATCAACAAATTATCAAACTACTAGTGCTGGCGAGGGTGTGGAGAAAAGGGGACTCCGGTACACTGGTGGTGGGAATAAAGACTGGGGCAGTCACTGTGGAAAACAATATGGTGTTATCTCAAAAAGTTAAAAATTGGCCCTGGCCGGTTTGGCTCAGAGGTTAGAGCATTGGCCTGTGGTCCAGAGAGACCTGGGTTCGGTTCCCGCTAAGGGCACGTACCTTGGTTGCAGTTTCTCCCCGGCCCTGGTTGGGTCGTATGGGTGGCAACCACTTGATGTGTCCTTTGCACAACGATGTTTCTCTCTCCCTCCCACTCTATGTGAACAAAATATCGGAAAAAAAGAAAATGTCCTCAGGTGAGGATAAAAATAAATAAATAAATAAATAAATAAATAAATAATAAATAAATAAATAAATAAAAGTATTCCCTTAAAAACAAAAATTAAAAATTGAACTGCCATTTGACCCAATGATCCCACTTCTAGGAATATACCCTAAGAAGCCTGAAACACCAATTGGAAAGAATACATTTACCCCCGTGTTCATAGCAACACTATTTACAATAGCTAAGATCTGGAAACAGCCCAAATGTCCATCAGTAGTCGAATGGATAAAAAAGTTGTGGTACATATACACAATGGAGTACTGTGCAGCTGTAAGAAAGAAAGATCTCTTATCCTTTGAAACGACATGGAGGGACCTGGAAAGTATTATTCTAAGCAAAACAAGCCAAGCAGAGAAAGATATAGATCATATGATCTCACTTATTTGTGGAATATAATGACATAACAGTCTGAAGAACAGGGTAGTCCCAGAGACGTGGAAGTAGTGTACAGACTGACAGTCCCCAGAAGAGGGGGTATGGGGGTAGATAAACCACAGAACTCATATGCATGTACGCATAACCAATGGACATGGACAACAAAGCTGGGGACAGGGTGGGGAGGGAGGGGGAGGAAGGTGTCAATGGGGTAAAAGGAGAAACATCTGTAACAAAAAATAATTAATTTAAAAAAAGAGAAAAAGTGTACACAGTGATAAAGATGAACAATAGCAATTTTGTTTAATATTGTGAACCTTTCTCTTTTTTAAAAAAATTTTCTTTCATTTATTTTTAGAGGGAGAGAGAGATAGAAACATCGGTGAGAGAGAACATCGATTGGCCGCCTTCTGCATGCCCCCCACTGGGGATTGGGTCCAAAACCTGGGCATGTGTCCTGAGGAGGAATTGAACCGGCAACTTCCTGGTGCATGGGTCTACGCTCAATCACTGAGCCACACTGGCCAGGCTGAACCTTTCTCTTTAAACCACTTCCCTTTTTACCTGTTAAGTCATTCTTTCGGTCATCCTGACTTGAAATCTTATCATTGGTTCAACTGAACATTTATTTAGTATCTACCTAATGTGTAAAGGATTAGGGTTCTGGTGATGAATGAACTCTTTCCTTATAATCTCTAACCTCTTCTGAGATGCCAACTCTTTTCAGTGTTGTCTCTCAGTATTCCTTAGTCCACTCTCTTTCTAATTTCAAAATTGTTTTCTAACTTGTCTCTCTACATTCTTACTGTATCCCTTCTCTTTCTATTCTTGTCCTTTCCCATTACCCACCCACCCCCAATCTATTAAATTGCTGTCAAATTGTTTTCCATTCTGTTTTGGTTTCACCACTACCACTCTCTACTCAGAAACCTTCAATGCTTCCCCATAGTTATAATTCCATAGTTTAGCATTTAAGACTTTCTATACTCTGTTTGAGAACTCTCTGAACTACTTTTGTCTAGCTGTTGCCTTACATAAATCATTGATTAAAGTGGTTACATTATTTATTGATCCCCCAAAAAGCTCATCTAGAGCTTTCCATGCCCATGCCCTTCCCTCACCTGAATGTCTGCCCATCTTATTGTTCTGTATTTTTCCTGTTCATCTTTTAGGCCTATTTCAGCTTTACCTTTTGGGGTATGTTTTCTGACTGCCCCAGTCCTACATGATTATTCTCCTTCTCTGCACTTTACCACACAGTTTTTCAAACCACTCATTTAAGACTGAGCATATTATTAAATTTTTATGGTTTTATGTATGGAGTCTCTTCAAAATAGACAAGCCAAGCAGTAATACTGCTTCTGTCTCTTCATGATCGTAGGGCTCTGGGATGCAAATAGGCCCACAAAGTTTTTGTTGATGAAATCACCTGGCTTTACTGACACTTTAAAATGGCACACTTGTTATTATTATAGCTGATGTGACTGGATAAAGTGGGAGGTATAGTTGATGGTTAAAAAAATTGGCTATGTTCAGACATTAGTGATTTAATTAAATCCATCCAATGACTGTCCTTTGCTATAAATTGGGTTTCTTCTCTATACTATCAACTAAATTAAAATTTACTTAAAGCTTTTGGTAGAGAACCTGCCTGTTTGCTGTATTTTGTTTGGTCATTGAGGGCTCAACAATTGCTTATTGAATGGAAAATTTTGTGAAATGCATGCCTTTAACTGTTCTCCATATTCTTTTCTTTCAGGTCTTATCACAATGGCTATACTTAGAACATGAGCAAGGAATCCAATTGACTTCTAAAGTAAATCTATCTTGAAAATATGAATGTGGACTGCCTTTTATCTCTATTTCACTCCATTAATATGCTATAAATTATTGAATGATTTACAGTGATTATAAATATATAATATATTTTTAAAATTACTTTATAACTTTATTCAAAGGACTCCAGCACATTATGTTACCAAAAATAAAAATAAAAATAAAAAATAACAGGATGCTTCTAAGTGACACCTAGAAAATTCTTTGAAGAAATTCTTTTTATATCTAAACCTATTGTGCAAAAGACTTTAATTGAAACATTTGTTACTTTCTCATTTTTTTCTAATTCATTTTAAATTTATTTAAATTGTTAGGTCCATGTGTCCTTCACAGTTAAAGGCCTAAAACAGCAAACTGACAACTGACTAGCCTAAAAATAAAATTACATTTATTTCTTAGCTACGAACATCAACGTTACTATGTAAACTATACCTTGGCTTCTATCAATATAAACAGTTGTCATGGTGTTTCTAAAATAAGAGGTTTACAGTTAATGTGTGGAGGGTTTTTTTAAAAGCACAAAGTACTGAGGAATCATGCTTATTCTAGAACTTACAGAAGACAGGGAATATTTAATTCATCTTCTGAATTACAGAATAGATTGTGGTCCAGACACCAAGCATGTGGGGTTATTTTCAACCTTATAAAAGTAGGGTGACCTCTCTATCTGGTCTAAAAATTCTAAAGGAAGGTAGGTGTGTGTTTAGTTAATTGGTTCACCTTGGCTTTACCTCTGGATAACACTTTATGTTAACAGGAGGGAAAATCTCTTTATTATTTTCTCCCGAGCCTCTTGCCTGACTGTAAACGACTGGCCCAGATTGAGATAACCATATCTCGGATGGTTTATGTGGAGATGATTTTTTCACCTTTAAACCCTAAGCCAAGTGTAGAAAATCCTTGATATCTGTGTCTATTTTATATCACTCATTGAGACATTTTTTAAGTTTATATTTATTATTAAAACAACTTTATGAAAAAGTCCCTGAAGCACAACTATTTACATTTCTTTGTAGTCTCTTCTGATCTCTAATATATATATATATATATATATGCAGTTTTAGTTGTTATTGTTATACTTAGGATTTTTATCTGAGAGTACAATGCATTAACAGTCTCTTGAAATTCATTTTTTCAGATCTTTTTACAGAATGAACTTATGCACTGCTACTGTAGTATTCTCAAGGAGTATATGTAAACACAAAATGTATGCCTGAGGTTCATTTTTGCAGGAAATGGTACTTTGCTTCTAAACTAAAAGCTTTTTCATATATTCTTTCACAGAAAATTCTGATTCGTTTAACCATTTAGGGAGCATAAATCATTAAACAGATCATGTCTGTACATTGTGTGATGAATGAAAAGCACATAAATGTTAATGTAATCTATTTTGAACTTTGTTGAAAAAAAAACTTGCTTGGAGGCTATCATTGTTTTTCTGTCCATCTCAAGTCCTGTGTGCATGTGTGCGCGCTCGTGCGTGTGTGCACGTGCACGTGCATGTGCACCTGTGTGTGTATGTGTGTGGTAAAACATTGTATAAAAAAGACATTACTTTAAAAAAATAAAAGACAATGGAGACCCAAGTTTCTAATTTATTTACACATTTTATTTGGGTTACTCTGAGGAACTCAAATTTTTATCTCTCCTAATTCCTAAAGCTGTGGATTAAATAGGAAAAACAAGTAAAATATGTGAGCTTAAATGTCTTACATTTCTTAATTTACCAAGGCAGTTAATTTTTTTAAATGATTGAATAGGTAACAGTCACATGCTTCAAAAAAAAAAAAATATATATATATATAAAGGTATATAGTGAAAAATTACTCTTCTCCAGTCCTGTCTACCCCATTCCCTGTCTACTCAGCCCTTTACCAGTGACCACTTTTATTTGTTTAAACAGGCTTCTGTTGTTTCTTTATCCAAATACATATATAACAGTATGCCCTGCTTTTTGAAAATTTGCTTTACAAAAGTCTTACTTAGTACCTGTTTCCCTTAACTGAAAGAATTTCCTTTAGCCAAAATAATTTTTGCTTTATGAAAAAAGCAAAAATAGCTTTTGGTGTCTGTTTTGCATTACATGCACCTGGAGCAGCAAGAGTGGCCTCACCAAGCTTTTTCCCCGGGGATTACACCCAGCATGTTAGCATCATGCCACCATAGCTTTGAACTCTTGTCTGTGAGCATGTGTGATTTATCTTGCATCCGTTAGCAGGATGTGTCCTAAGGTAATTGCTTCTTTGCTTTACACCATTTCAGCTTACAAAAGGTTTCATAGGGATGCAATTCCTTAAAAGCATAAAAATGAGAATAGTTTTGGATACTAAGAGTATCTTCATTCTTTTATTACAGCTGCATACTATTTTCTTGTATGGTGTGTAGAATAATGCATTTAACCAGTTGCCTCCTTACCAGTTCTATCAGCAATGCGTGAATGCCTATTTCATAGTCTCATCAGGCATGTGTTTTCCAATTGGATACATGAGAAGTGGTATCTCAGTATAGTTTTAATTTTTATTAACTTATAAGTGAGGTTGAGCATATCTTTACATGGAGCTATTTATTCACAGCCTATGTCCCCCAACCCATCTATAGGTAGATATAGATATAGATTTAGAGATAGATATAGATAGATATAGATATAGATATGAACACCAGTTAGGAGATTTCATATTATAATAGCAAAAAATTAAACTAAAATACCTTAAGTTTAAACTTTAAAAATTCCCCAAATCTTTAAACTATAAGACACTCTTGATAAACACAAAACTACACTTGAACAAATGGAAGATATCTGGGATGTTCTTAGATATGTATATTCTTGATATCATAAAAATATCCCTTTTCCCAAGTTACATAAGCTTAACATGATTCCAATAAGAATACCAAGATGTTTTGCTATCTTTTTTTTTTTTTTTAAATCAAAGTAAGTTGATTCTAGAGTTCATATGCAGAAATAGGCATAGATGGGAAAACTCTTCCAAAAAAGATTTAAAGGGGAATTTTTCCCAAAATTAAAATATGTAACCCCAGAATTCCAACAGTGTGGTATTTGCCCATGAATAGACCAATGGGAAATAATTGGAAATACAGAAACGGACCCAACTACACCCAGAAATTTAGTATATGATGGAGGTATCATCTCAAAATAGTGCTCAATAAATAGCATGAATCAACTGGATAGCCAGTTAGGAAAAAATATGAAGTTGGATTGATGCATTCCACCAAGGTAAACTCCAAAAGAATAAAAAATTTAAATGTAGCATGGCGTTGGGCAGGACCTAAGGAAGGGTGAGTGTGTGAGAGAGTGTAAGTGGACATAAAGGTGGACGACCAAACCTGAGCAGTGCAGAGACATGGAGAATAAGGTTCCTGTGCTGTGGACGAGAGCAGCCGCTACCACGGTAAGCGGCTCTTCAGGGCACTTCTCCCTGCACCATGGGGAGGTCCCACCATTTTGGAAGATCCCGGTCTTCCCTGGGAGGAGGTAATGGGAGCGGCTGAGGCCCAGCAACTTGAGCCCACGAGCGCGCCTGGCACCATCGGATCAGAGGACACTCTGTGTCAACACAGACCAGTGCACAGTAGTGGAGCTCTAAAGGTGCTGATGGTGGAAGCAGCAGACAGCTGGGAGCTCAGCACTATCATGCACAGTAGCAGCCCAATCAGAGTCGAGATATACCCCCAGCAACAGAGGCTGGGGAGCAGGCATCCATCCCAAGGCAACAGAAGCACTGACCAGCAGCTGAGACCCATCCCCAAAATCTAGAGGAAAAGCTGAGCAGGAGTTGAGCCCCATGGGGCAGCAGCACTCCTCAGCCACCAGAGGTGGGACCCGGGGCTCCACAGAGTCCTGTGAGGTCCAGCAGCTCACAAGAGCAGTGGGAAGCCAAAGCCCGAGAAAGACTGGTGTGATGCAGCTGCCCACCCTCAGGACCTGCAGGGTGCAGGGGCACCAGAGAGGCCTGTGTCACCCAGCAGGGACTGTGTAATCCAGTTACCCATGGGACCTGTGGGGTGCTGAAGAACCAGAGAGGCCTGTGCGACCCAGCAGCCCATAACGTAGGCATAGAGCTGGGTTCCCAAAGGGACTGTACAATTCAGTTACCCGCAGAACCTGCAGGGTGTGGGGGCACCAGAGAGGCCTGTGCTACCAAGCTGCCCACAAGATAGGCTTAGAGGATGTGAAAATGGAGAGGAAGGGAATGAAAGCACACAGATGATTTCCCAAGACCAAACAGAAATTACAACTAAAATAAAGACAAATCCTCAGAAAAAAGGCAACAGTAAACCAGCAGGAAAGGACTATATAACCAGGGACACGGGTAGAATCTGTGAAGACGTGAGAGGGTGGTGGGCTGGAAGCCCACAGACAGCAGCAGCCTTAGTTGTGAGCAGCAGCCTTGGGGAATAAAGAACAAGCCTGCTCCACAGCGCAGAGAGCCAGGACAGAGCTCTAAAATCGCCACAACCACTCATCTGGGGGCTACGGCAGAGAGAGGGCAGACTGGGCTGGAATTCTGTGGGGAAACTCGGGATTTGAAGGGCACTCAGAGTTTTTCCTGAGTTGCAACCACAAAGGACAGTGGCCAGTGTGCTCCTTCCCAGAGCTGTGGAGAAAAGCAGTAGCCCCCCCCCCCCACCACTCAAGGATTCAGCCTTTGTCAGGTGAGGCAAAGAAATGCAAATTGAGGCTCATTAACAACCAATATCTATCCCACCCTCTGGAAATCCTTTCATGCAGAACACCAGGGCTACATTCCAAGGAACTGACTAACTGAGACTACTAGCCACCAGGTAAAAGCTAGAACATAACTGAACCTTTCCTGTGCTTGAAAATCTACCCAGGAAAGTAAGACTTGACAGTGGTGTTTAACGTGGGCCCACCCAGGCTCATTTAAACTCAGTAGAGGGAGCCACAAACGGCAGAGCACCAACACCCAAAGGGAAAATATGGCAGGCTCCAAACGCATTGAGATAGCCAAAATGAAACAAAGAATCAAATCCCAAATGAAAGAACAAGAGAACTCTATCGAAGATTAGATCAATGAAATGCAGCTAAGCAAATGATCAGAGGTAGAGTTTAGAGCCATGATCATGAGAAAGCTCAACAGCATGAGTAAGGACATCAGCCAAATGAGTAAAGATATAGAAACATTGAAAACCAACCAAGTGGAAATGAAGAATGACATAGCAGAGATTAAGAACACATTGGAAGGACTAACCAGCAGAGTAGAGGAAGCTGTGGACCGGATCAGTGAATTAGAGGACAAGGTAGAAAAAAATCAACCAATCAGAAAACCAAAAGAAATACACAATTAAAAAACAGGAAGACACATTAAGAGAAATGTTGGACAACTGAAAACATAATAACATTCACATCATAGGAGTCCCTAAAGAGGAAGAAATGGGCAAGGGTCAGAGAATATATTTGAAGAAATAGTGACAGAAACTTATCTAACTTGGTGAAGGAAGAAGGCATTCAAGTTCAAGAAGCACAAAGAGCCTCAAATAAGAACACAAACAGGCCCACACCAAGACACATAGGCATTAAAATGCCAAATAGTAAAGAAAAGGGGAGAATTCTAAAGGCAGCGAGAGA